ACAGTTGTTGTGATTTTGGTGTTTCTCCTCCACTCCATAATTTCATCCAGCTTCGCTGTATTCCCCTCAAGAACTTCCAATATGGATTTAGAGTTGACTTAATTCCAGTCACGGGATGCAAAGGAATCTTGATTATCTCAGAATTTACATGATACAGACAGATGAGAAGTATGATCAGATTCATTGCAATGAATACTCAAAGGAGAAGTGGAAATGCTGGCAGTGTCTTTCTGCTTATATCTACACACTGTTATATTGACATGCTCACAACGACGGAATTTCTGATTGGAGATCATCTAGATTTAGTCTGTTGTCGGTGTGTATTATTTCATGATGTGTGAAAATCATGATACGTGTGAACTTAATTCATGTATTGTGTTAATTCTGTATTCTTTGCATTCTGATTCAATCCTGGATACAACATAAATGTGTGTGTGACTGCGTTTTCATCGCCATAAGCATGCTTCATTCAAGATGTGTCTAAATACGTTTAATTTGTTTAATTGTGAAGTTCTGTTTTGATATTCTGTATAAGGAACATTCGAATTGAAAATTATCTTCGGTGACTTCTATCTCAGGCTGCTCGGTTTCAAATCTTTAACTGTTTTCATGCAAGGGACGGTAAGGTTGGAAATATAGTCATATCAGTAGGAGTAAAATAACAAATAGAAATGAGTAGGACTTTATGTGAAAATAATGAAGATAAAAGTATTTCTACCTTTGACGTATAACAAAGTGGGGGGTGGTAAAGTTCTTATTTTCTCCATCAAATTCATTCGATCTATGGACATTCCCCTTATCTCTCTGATTGTTATTTTCGGTGCTTTGACTTTGAACACTTTTCGGTATTCTTTCACTTGTTCCTTTAGTTGTTCTAATTAAATGTATACACGTTTTGCAGTGTTGAAATCTGTCTTATTAAACTTCTCACCATGCAACCAAATGCTTCAGTTTGCCTACTAATCATAATAATCTTATTAATTTCAATTCCCTTCTCAAGGTCTACACATTTTATGAACTATTTTAGGTGTGATATAACTTCTTTTACCTATCAATCTCAAAATGTGATTATAATCACAAATATTCTATTGCATATAGCATTATTAATATAAGTATTCACAACTTTTGTTTAAATTTCTTCACAGAATGTAGTTTCTTACAAGTCATATGTTAACAAATTTACAATGTGATAATAAATTTGTTGAAGAGTCCCCTTGACGATTAGTGCGTTCCTTATGTCACAATAGCAAATATTATATTTCTGATATAATAGTTCTTTCCATTTCGCCAACACTTTTATTTTTCTATCAAATTTGCTCATATGTTCATTTTTTGAAACTGTCCCACCAAATCACATTTATCAAGGGACTATGTACAGCTGTTTGATTACGTAGAGACTAATGAAATGATCAGTGAAATTCAGAGAGCACTCAACAGCTATTTAGTCTGATCTTGGGAATCTTCGGCAGTACACACACATGACTACACTACCGGCAAAACCTTAGACCTTCAGGTTATGAGACAAAACTAGTTGACTACTCATGTTCAATATGGTGTTTCAAATAGTCTTTCCTACTTATGCTTCTTGCTGTGTTCTCAAGACATTTCACAATATTTCTATAGCATTTATTAGGTAAATAACTAAGGAAATAAGTGTACTGTTCTTTGAATGTGCCTTCCTCATACGTGCTTCTTCCAAGTGAACCATTTTCTTTCCTACTTGTCAAGGCCTCCAGAAAATACAGCGTGTTCTCCTGATGCAGTTGTTGCGTAGAAATGAGATAAGGGCGGATATTATTGAATTTCATGAATAATTCACTCTTATTTATATTCCCATGAATTAACACAACTGTATAGCAATAATATGCTTCAACAGACCACTTTCAATTTCATATAGTAAATGTTCTCTAGAATCGGATCTGATTGTGAGCCCATACAGATTCTATCTAGTTGTCGGTATTATATATTGTTGAATACAAAGTGTACATTATATATTAAACGATTAAATTTGCTACGATACAGGGTAATCACTTGTCCTATTGACTTCGACTAATTGGTTGGCATATGTAGTCCGCTGTCTCAACATTTGTGAGCAAGGAGGATGAATTAGTGGATAATAAAGTATTGTTAGTTACATTCCTTCTCACATATTCTGCAGGAGAAGACAAAGTGCATTAAATCTGTATCTCATAATTTTTTCGTGCAAAAGTTCACGAATTTCAACCAATCAGTTTTAGTTTTAGTGATATACTGACTCAAGCATATCTAAAACTAAACGAGTAGGATCTTGCGATGCTCACAATTTAGGTAGATCTTAAAGTTGTGAAGCGTTGATCTCTGTTGGATTCATTAATTCATACATCGTTGTCGACATCATTACTCTCCAATGCAACCTCCTAAGACAATCACTCATTCGTTGCTCAGCTTTGACATTTAAACTGATACTTAATTTGACTTTTCAAAATCGATAACATTTCTTCAACGCAATCGTCCTCATCTAATAACACTGCACCTCCACCATTATCAGACCACTTACAGTTCCCCTCCCATTTCCTCTATATTCTCTTCAAGATTCTGTTTGTCGGACAACTGACAAACACTATATAACTGTGTGCTATATAAAATAAACCTACTCAATACAGTACTATGTTTTACCCAAATTATTTCCATACTCTTGTGGCATAATAGTTAAAGACTGTTTTATTCCCTCTCTTTCAATCTACAATTACGGAACCTGAATATTCCTCTTACTTAGCATTGATCTACTGCGTCGATCCAAACATTTCTCTGTGTTATTATGCGTCTCCATTATTTTTCGTCTCACAGATCGCTCAAGATCTTAATCCTTTTTGTGACAAGGTCATTCTTTTTATGACAAGCTCTTTATACCATTGGTGAAGCACCATAAAAGCACCGTATTAAATTCTTCTTTAGAAATTTATGCATTTCAAATTAGGAACTTATGAAATTTAGTCAAAAACTTTTCATTAGTTGCCATTCTAAATTCATTCAGTGAATAGAAACTTCCCAACTATTTAGCAAAAATTACACTCGCTTATGACTTGAGGCTAAGTACAACAACTGAACGAATTGAAGTGATAATAACGCACCTGCGTATGTGCATATTTTTCAGTATGCTAAAAAGCATGAGTTTATATTTCAGGACTAGCATTCCTAAAGTGAGAAGCAGTTGCAGTCCTGAATATTGAAGTGGCTTTCAACAGCAAGTTTCTTGGAATGAGCTCAGATATTTCTTTGTCATCACCTGTTTTGACAAACACAAACTGATGGATGCATTTGGAAGAAACATGGAGTGAAGATTTGTCAGCTCTAGATTGCTTAGGTAAACAAATTTATTTGTAAACAGTGACAAATTTAGCGGCTGATAAACCCCTAAAACCAGCTCAAATGTTGTCCTGTTCACCCGTTCCTATTCATATAAATTGGATTTTGTCTCATGTGTGATGCTTCTGCTATAAGACCTTTTATTACATACAGACTATACTGAATGATTCTATCATTAAGAAAGACAGTGTTATGGTCCCACGTATGAGTACGCCAGGTCGCAGTTGAAAATTTTTCGAATTTTTCATGTCCTATTAAGCTTTCAGGTGATCAAAGAGTAGGTTCAGCATACTCCTTGTTCCCAACTTGGCTTCTCAAGGAGCTTGTTCAATGAACATTCTGTCACAAGCTGAACATATTATCCCACGAATATAATCATATTTAGAATCTTCAAAGATTCTGTTGAATTTGTTATATACAACTTTGGTGTCATTTTATGTAACAGTCTATTTAGGTGAAAACTGTTGTAGTTTATAATTTTATAGTACTTTCTAGGTTACATCCTATGCTAATTTACATTTAGGGATAGAATCTCACAGGAGATCACATATCACTCCATGAAATGTAGTTAGAGGCTTGTTTCTCAATTATCATTTAATCATAAATAGTATACACAGTGTCAAGGTACTTAAATCAGCGAATCTGAGCTAACTTCGAGTTTGATCTTACATGATCCTAGCATCAAACATGACGTATTCCGAAAAACCTTGTCCTTTACTCTGTCCAAACAACATCTAGTTATTTGAGTAAGCAGAGATGAGTTTAAAGATACTGCATCATTGCCATAGACTTTGATCCAGAGGCTGATGCTGCCCTTAATGAAAAAACCTCCTGATACCAGTAAGATAAATTTTGTAGATCAACCATTTTGGTTGGGTGTATTTTTGGATTTCAACACTTACGTTGTATATGAATGTCTCAATCTCTTAAATGCCAGATGACGATCACAATTAAAGTAACGTGCACTATGATTGTAAGTGATTTTAGTCAATTCACTACCCAGATTATCTTTCTGATACATGAACGTCTTCGAGAGAGCTCGTCTTGACTAATATAGCTTATTGGGTCATTCTGATACATATGCTCAAATAGAATGTCAAGGTGACGAGTTTTATTCTTGATGGGACATCGAATTCTAAAGTTCATATATACACCAAAGGCGATGGATATAATGCAATCATTAACTATCAAATCAGGGTGGTATCAGGCAAACTAAAATATTGAATGATTATTGTCTGAGGTCTTTGCACAGTTTGTCTGATTTCTTCAGGCAAAGTTATGTGCGAATACGTTCGCTGGAGAACGCCAGCAACACTGTCAAGACGATTATGTTGTAGAAATCTTGTGAAAATATAAATTCTCAGAACAGTTTGTGATTCCCATTGTGGATCAATGTGAATGGATGAATTACGAAACAGATGAAATATGCAGAAGCAATAACTAACCGGTAGACAAGTACCGTTAATCAGATATTCATCAGCAAGACAGAAATGTCAACTTTCTAAGATGGAAAACTTCAACTTGAGATCCAAATAACGAACAGTTATGTCCTTCGTATGCTATTGTTCACCTCGAAAATCGCAAAATTCGTAGTTATTTAAATGCCACAGGTGATACTATTCTAAACGGACGTATACACCCTCAGCAATTATCCATTTGCAGAAAGATCTTCAAGAAATAAATGATATGTGCTAAACAAGAACTTCTTAATTTATTTCGTAAAACATGTTTATGTTCAGTGATTTACTGGTTTCGGTACCAAAAGCTTTATCCATCGTCAACATCAGCCAATCTTATCTCCCTCTCACCGAAATCGAATACAGTGTAGAATTTTCTCATGAATACATCGCCAAGAATCCAGAATCCCTTGGACAATTTACCACTGCCTCTGAAAGGTGATAGACAGTCTGTTGATAGCCAGTTGGAATCCTGAAATGTGAAAATGGAAAGACCTTCTTCAGATTTCTTTAATTCAGTGTCTAGAAATGACTATAGATAATAATTGCATCAGAATTCTAATTCAACTACTTCGTCATTTTATCTCACCCACTATTGCAATTTCAGTGTCATCGTACCCGATCAATCTGCCTGGATTCTTGAAATTTGTCCTATTGATATTTGAGTCACTGTGAGTCATTTAGCTGATCAGCTGTACGTTCCTCTTCGAGAATCCAAATGCAACAGAAGATCCGGAAGTTGCTGAATCTAGTGAGCAACAAAGATAATCCCTGTTTTTGTTATAGGTAGAACAGTGTATTATTACGCATATATTTATGATAGGTGCTCGGAATCGGGGGCGAAGGACTTAGTCAACCTAATGCCGACTTTGTGACACGACTGGATTGAAATAGTTCCATGAAAATGCTTATTAGAAGAACATATCTCTCTCAAAGAAAAACTTACTCTGACAAATGAATAACAGTGACACTGTCTATCTGTTCGCATGGAGTTCAAAATGTGTTGAAATTTATTTCATAACAACAAGTATGATTTAGGCGTTACTTTGACTGACTCAGCGTTCCCTGGCAATCAATTCGGGCATACTTTATTCACTGACGATTTAAAATAAAATGGTGGTTGAAATATTCACAACGGAGAATGAATAAACGTTTGCTCATCACAGAATATCAGAAAATTCAACTGAAAATCTATACTTACTTTAACCACGTAATCTTTTGCTTGATATACGTATCTTCTCTCCTTGAAGATAAACTCAATGGGAGGAAGGTTATTGAGATTACCGCAGTCGACTTTATATTCCCCATCCGTTGCAGATACGGCACCGAGTTGGGAATTAATTTTACCCACCACTGCATTAGATCCGACTATCAAGGATGTCCCAGTATCTATAATACCAGAGCATGCTGCATCGCAATACTCCACTCCATTCACCTTCAAGCTAAGCAGGGTAAAACGTAGTTGGAACATTGACTAGTCTCTACAACAAATGGTGTATTGATCACAAAACTACTCTTCCTAATAAGCAGTAATTATGTCGTCTTTAACGTCACTAACTACACTCGCCCAATAAATCTGAACTTTTTGTCGAGTTTACATGCACAAACACACACCACTGAATTATTTAATCTGATTTGGTCCCACGTGCTTATTGACTACACATTTCATATGGATTTAAACAATAATCAAAACTAACTGACTATTATCCAGTCGGGTACCAGTAGCACAACATAATTTCTGATATGAATCTAGTTTGGCTTTAGTGACTTTTCTGAGCCAAAGATTAATGTATAAATAGTTGTGGAGTCTGAAGGAGAATCTATCAAAAGCAATTGTCCCCTGTAATTGTTTTGCTCTGAAAACATATCAATACTACAGAACTATAAGTAAATTGGGTTTGCTGAATGTGAGTTCCAGGGATGACAACAGAAGCATATGATGAAAAAATTTAGTGGACATATAGTGAACTGAACCCAACTAATAGAGACAACAGAAGTCTATTGAAAATCCGCAGGATAACAAACAATAACGACAATAATGGCATGAAGTAAACTAGGCGAAGAGGAGTAAGAAGAGAGAAATCCAAAATGAAATTGTGAGGTGAATGTGTGGTGACGGCTGTCAGCAAGACAAAATTGTAGACAATAACTGACGTCAATGTTTACGTCCCGAATCACGGTCATGAGAAAAGACAATAACAAGAAAAAGACTAACCTTGAGGAACTCAACAACCAATCAAAGCAGACTTAGCGTGTGCAAACACGATTCGCAGATATATGGATAACCTTGTAAACAACGGTCACAAGCAGTACACAATAACTTTCAGCAAGAAAATTCAACTAGAATAGGTTGCTTCTCTGCTAAAATAAAGAATTATAGTGAACATAAAAATCTATAACTATCTCTTGATTTTCTCAATAAACTATCTGTCGCCTGGCCCTTGTCTTCTGTCTTTACAAATGTACACTTTTGCGCACACACGTCAATTGTGTTCTCATTCATCTCTGTATATTCAGGAGACGTAACCACAGACTGTTTGGTGCTCAGTATACAACTGCAAATTTCTCATCTGTTTTATGCGATGTTCACTATCCACTAGTTATTCACCTGATTACTGCTTTTCCAAGCCAAACTCTCACATGAATACGGCCTAAACAAATAACTCCACAGAACCCGCTAAATTTGTATACACGTGCTGATGTGACCATCAATTGTAACTTACCTTTAATGCAATTTTTCAGTATAGGTCTGGTTCAGAAATTAGTGTGTAATTCCGAGGCACTGAAATTTTTTTCAATAGATCTAATCAACCTGCTATTAAATTTACCAGTAGATATGGCTCCCACGAATTGCACCTTTATGTACTTATACTCTGAAACATTTTCTCACATTTCTGATTTTCATTTACTGGCTGATAAATTCTACAATTCATGTATTTGTAGCCACAGAGTTTAGATGAGAACTGACTGCAAAGAAATGCTTGCCCAAGTTAATCTTTTTCCGAATATACTATGGCGATATCAATGTAAACGATTTATTTTCAATTATTTGGAATTTTCAAATCTCATCTCGTTCAGTGAATGAATACGAGAATGTATGACTTTTATTACTATGACACACAAGAATCGCCATTATGATAAAGTACTTCGCTAAGATGATACGAATGTGATAAGCATGAAATTGTTTGCTGCGATCTTCATATGCATATGAAAGATGCTGAATTCTTTGTTAATAACTTCATTCAAGTATGTATGCACTGATTACCTTTTGATGTTAACAATCCAACGATTTGCAGAGAGGACAGGCAAGTTTTCGAAATCTCCAGTAAAATATTCAGGATCAACACCACCCAGCACCATCTCTCCACCAGCAAGACCATTCTTCCTACAAAATACAAGAAATAATAATTGTGTGTCGATTACAAAGCTAGAGGTGAGTTCAAATTTGTATTTCATCAATGGGAAAGTGAATGGTAATCATAGTAAACGTGTAGTAGAAATTTACGTAAAATTCCAATGCATAGCAATATTACTCATAAGGTAATCTAGCAGCAGTTTCGAAATATCATGCCACATTTTCTTTCATACATTCTTGGGGCTGGGAGATGGCGCTCATACTGAATAGTCGTCGAGTATACATTTATGAAGTGCTATCTTTATCACTAGGTGAAGAGATGTTCGAAAGCGTATTTCAGAATGATAGTAAGAAACACAGACTGTGGTGGAACTAGGGAATGAATTAACTATTAGCTCTAACATATTTTAACACTCATAAATCTCTGATTCTGCACGTCTTTGTGCTTACTGTTTCTACATTCGGATGTGATAAACTTTCACAGTGCTACAACTGGTTATTGTTTCAAATCTTGTATTGCCATTATACATCATGGAGGGGAAAGTTTGTATTTGTTCAATTGTTACTCAAAAGTAGTGTCGAGTAATATGATTTTAAACAACGATATCATTTAGTAAGTACCTTGGATGCTTGTATGACTTAAAATTAATCATCACTTGAATATCTTGCATGTGATCAACCCACCCACTAGAACTCAGGAATATGAGGAGTAGATTGTGCCAAAAGCTTCACCTTTCGTGTGACATCCTTTTTATGGTTGGTGCTTCGTACTCTCTTCATTACCAGATATCCCCTATTAACGCTCATGCAAAATAATTCATTCATTTTGAAACAATATTTCACGAAATCGTACGATCAATTTCACAACAAAATATTGTGCTCTGCTTTGGTCTAAAGCTATTTGAACGTATTTACTTCTCAGTATTCCAAATAACAAACTAACACATAATGTGGAAACAGACATTGGTGAATATCAGTAAATCTTTGATACATCCATAGATCATTGCAACTGCCCTGATATCGTGCTGTAAACTGAGGACCTACCGACTCAGGTAGAATGAAAACACTGGATCCATATCCTTTGATTGAGAAAGTATGTTGGGGAAGAATGGAGTGTTCCCATATATTGACACATTTCTCCTTGACATACCAATTATTCCATCGAATTCATTAGCAAAGAAGTCATCAGAGAATACATTTGTTACTTCAGCAAACGCCTGATTGCGAACAACTAAGGAGTTTATCTAAAACCAGTGTTACTTCAAACCGTAAAACCACAATACCTGCATTGTATCCATGCTCCAAAATCCAGAGTAACTACCAACGATGTATTTTACCTCAAACTTTGTTCCATTTGACTGATACGTTGATGATTTCGAACTGTCATAAAATCGAATGAACCAACACGAGATATCTAGAAACCAACATTTTCTTGATGGAAGCCAGGTGTCGGTTGATCCTGTGTCGAAGAGTACACGAAACGTTTGTGGTGGCGTTCCCACTTGTAGTTCTCCATAGTACTGAAACTTACATGACCATTACGATTAACAAAATGATAGTGTTTGGCAATTTTTGATAACCCTGCACTTTGTACAGTGGAAAAATACAGGTGGACAATTTTATAAATTTCCACCAACTTTCCTTATCCTTACGAAAGTGATATCCTCGAATAAAATAATATTGAATTAAAACTCATCAGAATATTACTAACATTGGATTTTCGCTAGCTATTAAGCATTTAAGACTGTCACATGTGACCATCACTAGTAATGTCAAGGAGTCTAATAAGATCACTGCACAAAAGTAACACCACAAAATATCATATTTTTGGTAGATGCCTTGCATTTCGATTGGAACTAAGAGATCCGGAGACATATCTCCTTTTTATTCGGTCCTCTTTCTTCAGTTTCAGCTGATAACAAAACTGCTTTCAAGCCCTCACTTCCCTCCACATGACTTCCTTCTTGTCGTTTGTGGAAGCCTGACCTTTCGGTTGCAATTCACATTCCCATTGAGGGCTCGTACTTGATGTACGTCGCTGGCACAAAAGTAGAATGATCAACGACCACGCACATGGTTCGAGTTTCCATTCCCGGTAGACGCACTAATTTACCTCGCAAAACCAGTAGTAGGATTGGTAAGGAGGGAAGGTTGGACTTGAGGCTAGCAACCCCATCCCGTGAAAATAAATAAGACTGCCACAGAAACTTCAAGTCTCTGGCTTGAAGCCCTGTGTTCCACTGGGAGCGTGAAGGAATAAAAAGAACTTCATGGTATTCACGACGCATACAAAATCAGTGTCTATTCCTTTCGAACTGCACACTGTCTCCAAGGAAGTGAACACCGTTCCTGCTTTGAGATCCTCAGCTATATCGTCTGTTTTTACTGTCTCTTCTGCAAAGTTTCCATCCTAAACTGATTGCAGTACAACAACTCTCACTGCTTAAGTGGTCACCAAATATGTTGCTTAGGATGAACAAGAGTGGTTCTAGCATACAATTAAGTTGCCTTTACTTCCAACTGGCAGGTACCTGTCTTTCCTTCCACACATTTTTCAGTAACGGAATATAGACAATCGCTTGGATCTCTACCTCCATCCCTTATTCTTCTTCAGTAAAGGGAATTCAATCTGGTCCCTCTACTTCCCCGTCCTACAGTAAATGTATGGCATTTATTATTTCTGATTTCGTCGAACATTTGTATTTGCAAAACGTTGTGTGTCTGCTGGTTGAATTTCTGGATAAGTGTCCTTTGAAATTGTCTGCTCAATATTTCCGTTGTTTCACTACTTTTTTTCAATAGCTTCATTGCATTTGCCTCCTCAGGATTGCGACCTGATTATTTGGATAAAGTGAGGTCTCTTATGGATCACCGGTCTTCTGATTAAGCAGCTAGCATGCAGTAAAAGAGACATCGTCTTTCCTAGCACTCTTCTTCACTCGTTCGTCCATTGCTGTGTGGGTTATATTAAGCTGCTGCTTTCGTTTTTCCTCTTTTCCCTGGCTCACCGTGTACCACACTGTTCTTGTTTCCTTTACAGATTCCAGTTGTCGATGTGAGCCACCCTTTATTTTGCTTAATCTGCTTGACTAAAATGAGTATAAAGTATTCAAGGTGACTTTCTCATTTCTCTCCTTCACTTTCTGTATGTTGAAACAGAATTGTGGTCTACTTCTTGCCCTTCGAAGACTTCCCAGTTCATCTTTAGGATTGCTTACACTAGATAAAAGTCTGAACCTGCAACTGTTCCTTCGTCATTCTTGTGCCCAGGTAGATGCGTCTATCTTTTCTTAAGACTGAAATGTATTCTATCTGATTTTTGATGTGTTCATGAGAAGACATAGTGGAGAATTTGCAGGAATCTGTGACTCTCGGAATTGCCTACCGAAGAGTCAGTAATCTAGTCCAACTACCTAGACGGGTGGCTTTCACGATGTCACCAACAGCAATGAAGGCTCTCGCAGAGTGGGGAAGAATCTACCTTGAGATTATGACAGTGGGATTCAAGCTTGCTGGCAGTCATGGAGACAACTGAATAAGACTGCAGAGAACATACATGCTACCGAATCTCCATGTTCCACTCAGAATCCAACAAATAATAATAAAATATTTATCGTCCATATACATACTAAAAGAATCATCCATTACAAGGTTATTAGTTATATTACGTTGTGCCCCAATATGGCTTTGAATTTGTCATGAAAGACTTTGATATAAACAAGTAAAATTCCATTACACGCATGACACTTACATTTGACAAATATTTTCCCGCATTTCCGCTTATCTACTAGTTCATTGAGAAAATTATTAATGAATGTGGTGTTGTGTTCTCATATCCCGAATACAGTCACTCACCATGTAATGATTGATGTGTGAGTTATGGGTCAGCGATCACATCACATCTCTTACCATACAGCAGCATTCAGAAACTGACAGTGGGCATTGTGATGTGATCATGTCAATGAGTTTAGAAACATCTGTCAGTCATTGTTATTTCAGTTTGAGATTTATAAGATCAAGTCGAATAACTAGTTTCTTCATTGGTATTCTGGATTCAGAAAGTGAAATAGAGTCGACTTTCAATATTCAGATGATGCGTCGTATTGTGTAATTAACTGCAACTGAAACCACGGGATTATCGACACGACGGATAGTATTCATACATCGTCCGTAGAGTGCTCAGAATTATTAGGAATAATGCCTGTAATTTAGTCAGAAGTAGGAAATATTATGATTTCCTAGTTTGATTCTAAAGTATCCTAACTTCTTCTGATGTAGCCTGCATATGAAATATTCGAAAACATTCGATTCACACTATTATCCTCATGACATTAATGTACACTACTAAATATGACCAGATAATACTTCTAGACTATTAGTAATGAATAGCACTGCATAAACGTTCAGCGACAGATTTAACCAGTTATTTCAGTATACAGATATATCCTATTCACTTAGTATTACAGATGTCAGTGACACTCCGAATAAGCTGACATTAATTAAAGTCAACCTACATCGTAGTAATTGTGCAGCTGTTCTGCTGTTGGTGTATCTCCACCATTCCATAAATTTGTCCACCTTCGTTGTAATGCCCGGAGCTGTTTTCGAAACGGATTTAGCACAGACTTTATTCCAGACACTGGATGCAGACGAATTTTGATAATCTCAGAGTTCACACAATGTAGACAGATGAGAAGTATGATCACGTTCATTATAATGAATATTAGAAGTATTAAAATTAATTATTTCTTTGTGTTTAAATCTACATACTTATATTGATATGCTCATTGCTACACAAATTCTGATTGGTTATCATTGACATTACTGTTGGTTTGTTGTTAGCACATTGTCTAACAATGTGTGATAATCACGGCGTATATATACAGATATATATATATATGTACTAATAGCCTATACAGTGTACGCCTGTTGGATCGGCCAACTCTAATGGTTCAGGATTATCAGGATGTTTTTGACGAGGTATAATACACCCGGCTTCAGGTATGACAAATAAGTCAATTAAACAAACCGCATTTCCAAACGGTTACTGATTTCTTCTAATATATTTCAGCCATAATTTGCAACTGAGGTTCCAAGTGAATACGTCAGAGAGTTTATTTTTAGGTAGAATCCAGCATAAATATTTGTTGTTTCGGCTAAATACTTTCAAAAGCACGATCCCTGTGCAGCATAACTATTTCGGAGATTCAAAGTTTGGAAACACACAACGTGAGGATATACTCAATAAGATAAGATGTACGTGTACAGCAGGTTTAGTTCAGCCATAGAAAGGTTATCAACGACCGAAGAGAATGTTCATTTATTATATGAGATAAATTTCAACGGAAACGAGTAATTAGGATTCTGAAGTATCGAAATGGTAAACAAATATTAAATTGAAGAAGTTGTTAGCAATAAGCAGTGTTAAGTCTAACGCAAAAATACCAGTAACTGAAGATAGTTAAGAAAGGAATTAACAACTGCCATTGTGGAAATTTCAGTTACCAATTAGATCAATCATTCTGCGCCGTTCTACCTACCAACGTTTTCATAAGTATCGAGAAAGTACATAGTAATAAAATTACTTCAAATAATCCCAGTGTATTGAGAAAACGAAATGAAGATTTTTCTGGGGTGAATTTTTTAAAATGACCCAATCTGATTCAATACTCAAATTATTACAGAAAATTCTGCAACATTTATGGTCTGCATATATTGAAAATGATTAATAAATTAGAGGTTACCAGGCCGTAGGTGTTACGAACTTCCTGGAAAAAATTGAGCGCCCAGTCAGATTGATTCATTATAAAAAAATTCAAATTAATCCCATCGTGTTAAAAAAATCAAAACAAGATTTTTCTGAACGTTTCGCTGTGTAAGCCACAGCTTCTTCTGCAGATTTATTCGGATTATTATTAATGATCAAAATATATAGTCAAAAATTTTTACATAAATTGAAGTCAGTTTATTTGAAGGTCATTTGTCCATGGACATTTTTACCAATAGAAAATATTGGAACAAGACATACAAGCGAACAATATTGTTTTCAATTAGATCTTCTTCAGGCTTTACTCTAATTTACATAGATTTATATATAAAATTTTAACCAATGACGGTGATTTTGGGAATCAAATAATAATCTTAATAGTCTTAGTAATAATAATAATGTGATAAATGTTTTGAACGTAGTTAATAACTATGATAATAATGATAACAAAATATTGATAATAAGGTTTATGCAGGTGATAAGAATAACAAAGATATTATATGTATATGTGTATAAATAAATTGGGTCAAATCTTAAAAGGTGAAGTGGAACGATAATCAGAGTTTAAATAAATATTATAAAAGTACAAAGGAGGTGGAAAATAAGAAAGGGTGGGAGGGTTTTGAATACAGTTCACCTAGGCCAAGAGAGAGACAAAGGTAGAACAAACTTCTTTTGTATGCGAAGACTAGG